CACACACACACACACACACACACACACACACACACACGAGTCATCTGATTCAAAAGCAACAGAGGCAGATCATAGCTTTATTTTATAGAATTGACCTTTTGCTCAACTGGTAGAGAGGTAACATTATAGAATTACATCTTTGGTTGCAATAAGTTAGGCCTTTTGTTACTTTTGGAACTTCTTTTGGTAAAAATGTGTCTGCCAAGAACATAAATGTGATGTTGAAATTATGCCGTTTAGAAATGTCAGAAGTTCATATGCCCTCAAAAGAGTCAAAGTCTATTGTTTTAGGAAACTGATTCCCTCATGATTGTTTTTGCTCTACAATCATTATATCTGCACTGTTGTTTACTTCACTGGTTTGCACTCTATCTGCCATGTGCCTTGTGCTGCTTTATATATTTTTTTACATTTTACCTTATTTGTATAATTGTATAGTTGTATTTTATATTTTAATCTGTATCTATCTGTATTTATGTTCTACTGTTAGTGTTATCTGTACGCACCAAGGGTCCGAGAGTAACGCAATTTCAATTCTCTGCGTGTATGTGCTGTACATGTGGAAGAATTGACAATAAAGCAGACTTGACTTGACTTGACTGTAGGATATTTTCCCAGCATGTTCAAGCCCCCTGCAAATAAACAAATTAATAATAATAATAAAAAAAGTTTACCCAGGCAAAATTCTAAGAGTTTGTATGTTTACCTTACATACACTTTTAGAATCTTGATAATATGCTATATATTTTTCTCATATAGTCCTGCCAAATTGACACTTACAAACACTTGGACATCAGCCATTTTTTAATGATCATCACATCACAAGATATAAATACTTTCTTCTGTGCAGTAACAGTTTACATATTTCGTAGACAAGAATACCGTTCATTTTTGTTGAATTGTGAACACAGACAATATTTCAAATAAATTCCAAAAAAGCTAAGATGCTTTAAGTCAGATGTCAATATAGTGCACAATAATGTTTGCTTATATATATATATATATATATATATATATATATGTATGTATATAAGGAGTATTGTAAAACAGTAAAAAGACACAAGCTAATGAAACTGTGGCTTGGCAATTACTGTCAATGGTGATTTAAATGCTTTAAGTCCGTCGTGAATTTTGTGGGCATTTGCATTATAATTATAAACATTTACCTTCCATTTCACTTATACAGGGGATGTACAATCCAGTGCGACTTGCAAATTCTTGGAGGGCATTAGGTTGCTTTTATTTGCACATTTCAGGAAAAAGGCCTGTTAAGCACACCATGCAAAATGTGTGTGGGTTTTACTTCTGTGCTTTGTTTATTAAATTATTTAGTTCCCTTCTGGTCTGAATAAACATGGTTTTGCCTGTCTCAAAATTCTTATGTCAAGCCATACATTACAGTTCACATTTTACGTGAGAATTATGTAAACTTTTTGTTTAACCTTTTACTTATTTTAATACACCGATTCTTCATTTATTAGATTATGGACAATGCAACTGGCACTAATCTCAAAATATCTTTACTTTATATAGATTCACATGTTGCACCCATCTGTGCAAAACGTGATTTTCCCGGCATTCATGTTGTAAATTGTTTGGATAAATGTGCAAGACTGCAAGTTGTAGCAAGATTTGAAAAAATAAAAGCGTGTTTGTGGTACATCCAATAAACCAGACATTTATTTTTTGTTTTTCATTTATTTTAATACCTTTATGTTTGTATACATTGCTCACTGCTTTTAGGCAATTAAAGCATGTATTAGTCATGTAAGATAATATTTAAATAAATAGGCCTATAAAATATCTGCATAATATAACTACAGGTAAAATACAATAAAAGCCTCATAAGAGCCCTTCAATCAAGTCATATTTTCCTTTGAGACATGTATTATATTGTACAATAATCGAATAAAAAAATAAGATTTATTTCCCAAAAATCAACGTTTGGGCTTCTCAATATGTAACAATTCTATAGTTTACAATTATATTCATTTCCTTAATAAACACATCCAATATTCACTAAATATTCAGTCCAGCTTACTTATGGACTGTGGCGCAGAACATTTAAACAATAATCGTAAAACACAGAACCTTTAAAAACATAGGCTTGGTACATGTAAAATGTGTATTTTTACGACACGCATGAAACACCCACCTTAACCATCGAGACGATGGGACATCCTGAACAATGGACGCAAGCAAGGATCCCAAATCAACAATCCATGCTGGTTTTTATGATTTGGGTAAGGCGCACGGCTGTACGTTAACCAACATCCGAAGGACAATCGGTATTTTATCAGAGTGCAGTTAAATGCTCCGCTGGCCATTAATAACACGCGTTCAGAGAGAGCCATGAAGCTGTAGAGCTGCACCGATACAACGTCTCGAGACGAGCGCTTTCCACAGCAAATCAGCGCTATTGTTCCCGCGAGTCCTTGGAGAAACCGGCCAGTCCCGAAGCACGGCGTTTTTCCCGAACGTGTTGTCATTTCATTAGGAGTTGCAGTTGAGGTATGCTCTTTCAAACCTGACAATTCACGTAGGTCTTTTCCTCATGTGTGACCCGCTTCCACTGCCTTCATGAGGACGCCTTGAAACCGCCTCACCGGAGAGGCGCACGACAGGGGCGGTTAGAAACCGCGCCAGCTTTTTTTTCCTAATCATCTTTTTTCCCAATGTGGAAAGGTCTCGTGAACTGATCGATTGATCGCCTAGAGTTTGTAGTTCAAGTTCAGATGAAATCGTGATGTCATGCTTCAGTGACTGGCAATGAAAGTGAACGGGTGATTCAGAAAACTGGAAAAATATACTTTGATATTTCTTGCTTGAGCTTGTTTCACAGGCTGTGATTTTGTCTGTTGAAACTCCAGTAGTCAATTTTACAGCGTCTCTGAATTCCCTTGTGGTTATTACAATTTTAAAAGGAAACAGATCACTGACCAGGGAAATTTCCCAATTGTTAACAAATAAGCACATGCGCTATACTTTACACCTGGTTGATAAAATGATGAAATACATTAAGAAATAACAAGCCTTCAGTCAAGTGGATTAGAGAATCTCATATGTGTTCAACTTCACATTAATGCAAGACAGGGGTTTTTAAATTTAAGACAAGAACCGCCAAATGGGATTATATTTCGATAAAAAACATTTTATACTGTGTGTAAAAATATAGTAACGCTATTATAAGACAACATTCTGTTTCCTAAATATAATAAATTACTTTTATATTGTCACTGAACAAAAGCCAAAGCAAAGTCATAAAATATTACCTGTAAACTATATAGTTTGACAGGTAATTGTTTTCAATATATTTAGCTGTTAAAAATATTGTCTTGCACCCCGGGTGTGCCATCTGAAGACAACAGTAGCAAGGAGAAACTCTAGAAAGATAGGCCTAATACATTAACAATCTATTCTTGAATGTATGTGTCACTAAATAGTCTAAATGTAGGCCTAGCTTATTCCATTAAAAGCTATGACTGTCAGTAAAATAAAATATTTTTGCTTATCTCAAAATGTACGAAAACAGAATGAAAGTGTAATAATACCATATAATAAAAGATCAAGCATTAAACATATTGGGGTGGTTTCCCGAACAGGGTTTAAGACTAGTCCTAGGTTAAAATAAATGTTAGAGCTGTCTAAACTGAAAAAAGCTTGCACTGACATATCTTAAAATACATCAGTGCCATTGTTAGGTCTTAAAATGCACACAAGTAGCGCTTTTTTTGTGAGGCATGTTTGTAAGAACTACTTAAATGTCCCAATTTAACAAAGGCCTAGTCCTGGCTTAATCTAATCCCTATCCGTTAAACCGCCCCAATAAATCGTAATTTAGGTAGCCCCCAAATACTATTTCGCGGAATGCCGATCGCCCCCTTGCGGTCCCTGAACTCAACTTCAAAATCCATTGGTCTGATCTACAAAGCAGGCCTACAACTCATACCATGAATGCTTTAGAGTGGACTGATGTAGCGTGTGATCATTGAGTTATAACCAGGTCCGCATCCGTCTTTTTAATGAGTCGAGTTTGAGGGGCCTTGAAATATTCTGCCCTCCAAATATTCTTCGCTTGTTTTGATCATTCAAGTCTTGAAGGAAGGGGAGCTTGAAACAGCTCGACCTCCTTGTTCCATAATTGGTTTTGTAGAGCTGGCGAGGAGCCAAAGTGTTTACATGGAGTTGATGGGCACTTCTGTAGACCAATCATATGCTCCGTTGTGGAACGCGTCGGGAGAGATTCGCGGAGGCGGAGCTTGTTAAACAATGCTTGTTTCATTGCAGAAGAGTTTACCGAGAGCTACAGTGGTTTGAGCGCAGGGCCTTCACCCCGTATGCGCTTTCGCTCTGCCTAACTACGGATGGTGTGTAAATGGAGTCTGAGAAATTTTCCACCACACGTCTCACGGATTTTGCGAAGAAACTGGATTTTATAAACTGAGTCGCCATTTCAAGTAAGACATCGCCAGCTATCATTCCGCACATGATCCGTTACACAGTAACATGTTTATGAAGCAAATTCGGAGACGCTTTTAAAAAACAATGTTCTGTTTACGCGGTGAAAAGGCGGGGGGTAGTTTGGCTTGCAAGGTTTAGTAGCTAACGCTACTTCTTTATCTGCAACTCGCTGAGCAATGTTTTCGAAAGATTACCGTTTGGGCGGAAAAGTTTTGTTGCTGGAAATGCAAACGGGCAAGTTTGAAACGTGGCTGTCGATCGGCTTGGTGTTGCCATCGATAAACTTTAGATTAGACTCGTTACTTTCAGTCGTGTTTTGATACCAGTTAGGCTACTTAATCTTGACATTTGCAATAACATTAAAACTAGTAAAAGTTGCCATGTGAAAAGACGTCAGGCGTTTGGATACGGCGTTGTGCAAATTGTTGTAATAAAAATAATTGCTAAAGTAATACGTGAAAGCATATTTGGAAAGGAAGAAGTGGAACCACCTCATCAAATCATAGTCCTGTAACATTAACCGTGTATTTTAAGTGAATAAAACGCCTAATATAACGATAAGGCTGCAGTGACAAACTGTTCAGCAAGGTATTAAGTTACATGATTGAAACTGCTTCTATATGCATGTAAAACTAGGTGTTAGTTTAACGGGATACTACCGCAATAATGTACTTATCTAGATATTAAAACAGTCTTATATGCGTTATGCCGTAGCCCATTTGGAGTAGATAAACCTGGTTTGTTTGCAGACAAGCGTTTCGGCAGAGGTCAATAATACAGTTCGTTAAAAGGTAGCCTACAAGAAAATAATATTGTTTTACAATCATTAACAGGTTTGGATCACCAAAATCGACATCATACGTCCGTTTTATACAGTTGTTTTGTTTTTACTATATCGTGTATCGTATACACACCAGCGGACTGCTCTTGGCCGTTTACGAAGAATTATATAGCTATTACGAACAATAATAAATATGTTTGTAATCCGTTTGAATGAACCCATCGAATGATCGGCCAAGTAAGTCTCCACCAAAAGGCTGGATTTTCGCCCAATACACTGCCTGCAAGCAGGTTACTATAGAGGCGTCTGTTTATCCTAAAACGGACTTTTCGCGAGTGATATTAAACGTTTTGATGTCTTGAGAAGATTAGCCTAACGTTACTCTCTTTTTCCAGCGATCTAGTTGAGATTAAAACTGCGTCATTAAACGACAGCACTGCTCGTGTTCATCTCCATATAATTTGGGATTAATTTCAGTAGTGATCCGCACCTGTCGAGACTATTCTGCTTCTGTTTTGTTTTTGTAGGTCGGCAGAATGCCGGATAAGGACACTGATTATTTGCCTAGGAATCTAGGGACATTATAGCCATTAAGACTGGCTTATTCGGATTTACCCGATCGGACTGTTTCTTTGATCAAGTTGGGTCATTGTGGATGATGGATGGCCGAGACTTCGGACCCCCCAGATCTGTTCACGTACCGCCGCCCCTTCTCTCGGGGCTGCCCATGGAGTCACACCGGCTCAGCGCGGCGGCTGCGGCCGGCAGAATGCCACCGTCTCCCGGTCATCTGGGCGCGGGGCACCCGGCGGCTCTACACACTGGAAAATATCTCTCATCGGCCATGAACCTACATTCTCACCACAGTAAGTGCAGGTTTGCTTATTTTTCCTCATTTCAGCAAACGCATAAAAAAACACGAAAACACTTTTTAACTTTGTAGCGTTTTGTAAACGATCTGCAGTGCTGTTCAGATCTTCACATTTTATATCGCTTGGTACGTCTTTACGGAAACACGGGGAGGAATGAATGATGTTTAATAATGTTAATAATGATTTAATACGTATGTTTAAATTTATGCGGGAGGTATATGTGCGCGAATACTCATATAAAATACGTGTAATGATTCGTCTTGTACGATTCACAAAACAGGACTCGCATTCGGTTACAGATAAACACAAACATGTTCACATTGGCGTTCAGAGGTACTCGTAAACATTTATGGGGGCAGTTGTTTTTAAAAGCTGTGCAGTATCAGCGCTCAAATCACCCGTACAATTCTTCTCTCCTCGCTCGCAAATAACACTAAAGAAAATTGCTAAAAACGTGGAAAGCAATGCGTGTTGGCGCAAGGTGAATTATTCAGCCGTTTGAGTAAAACACGATGTGTCTTTTGGGCGAAAGACCTAATGTTTTAACTAGCATCCAATGAAAATCGACAATATAGATTCATGACTGAAATTGCACCATTTGTTTTCCATCACTCCCCCTCTCAGGCTGGGGCAAACACTACAATTATTGCTCTTCCCGAGTGAACTATTGCCTTCCCTGTCACTCAGTTAAGACACAGTGTCTGACCCTTGTGTTTAGAAATGCTCTTTAAAAGTCTACACTGCATATTAAAGGAAAATTATGTTTGCTGAGATACTACATTTCGTTCTGTAAATGGTATGTTGTTATTTAGATGCATAAAGCTGGATTCATTAGTAGCATATGCTGTATGGTCGTGTGATTTAGTTATAATATTTTTTTAGTAGGCCTAGTTGTTGTTTTTATTAAGAAACATAGATCTGTATGTTGTGGTCATTATAAGGTGACTAACATGTTGAACAAATTATTTTTGTTGAAAATATAATGAAAATGTCACACTTAATGACCCTTCTCAGGAAAAATCCACTCATTTGTGCTGCGTATAGGCTTTGGGGCATTTTTTTTTACTGTGTTTAATTGGATGCTGATAAGAACATTGTGTTGTGATGTCTTAAAGACTGCAAAAAAAATCTTTATTGTGAGGATATTGAGTTCAGAGAAAGAACTGTTGGTGTATTATGTGCTTCTACAACTAATAGATTTGAGGTTCTATTTACTGTCTCTGTCAATTATTGCGAAATGGTGGTTTCTGTCATGTGCAGTAATTGAAATGAATGTTGCAGCTTATGTTGCTAAAATAACGCAGTAGTTGTTGTTTATTGTAATAGTTGTTGAAAATTCTAAAACGTAAGTCTTCATTAAACAAATGACTGCCAAACAGAGTTAATGATGCTGTGTAGCATAGCTGTCTTGTGTCCTGGGGCTGAACTCAATGCAAATTATTTGTATAGTTTATCATGAATGACAACAGTGCTTGGGTTGTTTGTGGAAAAAAAATCAGTGATTTTCCAGTGTTGTAACCTATATTAAAAAGTGATTCTGTGTTATATCACTGGTATATTGTTAATCTTTTTATTTAGTGAATAATGAAGTTCTTGACTTTTCCCTTTTCAGATAGATGTAACATTCTGCAGATGTCAAAGAGAGCCTTTAGATCTCTAAAGAAAGGAGATTTTACTTTGTTTAGGGGTGTGTAGATCTCAGCAGTTTACTATGCATATTTCCAATCTACTGAGAGAGCTTTTCTAGTCGCCCTCACCCTAACCTTCAACTACCATGACATTTTTACACAGTGTTATTTGATGATTTATACTGATATGATTTGTTTAGTGTAATAAATTATGTCACTGCATTTGATAGCACCTTACCCTTATTGGATGATTACCTTTCAGAGATGATTGTTTTATTATTATTGCCTAGAGCTTTGATGAGTCATCTAGTTCTTTAAATAATTACAAAAATGCATTCTGTGTTGTGTGTGTGCACGCATACACGTCTATCTTTATCTAGCAATTCCTTGGGTACAGGTATCAATAGAAACAAGACCTTCAAAGGGCATGTGGCGCTCTTTGCTCATGAGTCCAAATATGTGCTTTTATTATTTTGATCTACCAATATGTTTGCCAACACATTTTTTTGTGGCACTAACCTACCACACAGTGTCCTTGTAATTCTGTAAGAAATGTTATTTTGACAACGTTACATAAATGCATTTATTTTCAAATGTGCTCCTTGCAGGTGGTCAGCACACTGACTTCTCATTGAAGTGTTTGTATTTAATGACTTTTTTCATATATGGTTTTCATGCGTAGTTGTAATGAGTGGTGGCGGATACATCATATGTTTATGGAATGACTTTCCATTTCCATTCTTTCCAATAATAACTGATCAATAGCCAAATTTCCTGTCTTTGAATGAGAAAACAGATTTCTGTCTCTTGATTTGCCGGTTCACCAGATTCTATGGAATATGTTGTTTTTGTGCTGCCTTTTATTTAACTGGTGTTATTTTTTTGTATTTACTTAAATGCAAAATGTTGTAGATTCTTAGAACTTCTTACATTTTACCTCATTTGATTCGCTTCTAAAGATCAACTGATTCAAATATGTTTTGAACCCCTCTTGATATTTACAGTGCAACACTTTAAAACAGACCTGTAAACATGGCAGAAATTATATGAATCATCACTCAAAGGGCTGAGTTTTTGGGCATCTGGTAGAGGATGCTGAGAGCTTAAAGAGATGGTTTGAGAAACATGAATCCAGGAGTGTTTTATAGGGACATAACCTGCCCATCTGCTGGTCTTCACATTTAACACTGAACATCCCACTGAAAAGGAATATGCTGTTATGCATAATACTTTGCTGCATCTCTATAACATTATTTTATATAATACCATTTATATGTCAGTGTAGTTAAAGCGATGGATCTATTTGGATATACTCCCCTTCCGTGGTACTATAGTTTAGGGACAGTAGAATTAACATGGTTTTTCTGTTGCTGGGAAGGAGGATGAAGGAGAACAAGCTTAAATTGTGTAATGCTCAGTGTCTGTGTAATGGCTGACATGTTCGGAGATTTTTAAAGGATATTAATCTGAAGATTATATGGCTTCCTGAACCTCAGAGAATGATTCACCAAGTTCATTTTGACCTGCATTTTCTGGTTGATGGTTTTTCCTTTCTCATTGTCCTTGAGTCAGTGATTGTCTATTGTTCAGAGACTGAACAAGCATCCATTATTTTTTGACTTCCTTGTCTTATGTCAGTAATGCTAGCCTTAGTAATTGTAATAGCCTTACTAATAGGGGGACGTTAATGTTTGTTGAACATGCTGAAACGTAATGCACGAAACGTGCCTTTCTACTCCACAGCCCACTCGTTTAACAGGGTTCCCATGCATCATGGGAAAATGCAAATCTTCGCTTGATATGCCTTTGAAGTGCGCTGTCTTTTGGAATGTACGATTGATCAATTTTCATATGGTGCATCAGAGGATCCCGGGGTTGCAGCCCTGCTGGGGGTTTATGGGCTGTTTTTAATTGAGGACCCTGGTGTTTGGCCTCAAGATACGAATGACTGCCTCCACATGGTTCACTCCCCTCTAGATTTTGGGGTTTGTTTTATTGATTCCATTTGAGCACCCTCTTTTTGCTAAAACCCCAAATGGGAGCTCTGTTTGATGTGAATTTTTCTATTTTTGAAGAACTGTCTTTCCTGTTGTTACAGCAGCTTGCGGGTATACTGAGCTGTTTCTGTTGTGTTGCGTTTGTTATTTCAGCCTTTTCCATTTAATAAGCTGTATATTATACCATCGTTTTGATGGCTTCTCCAGAAATGGCTGTGCTGCCTTAATCAGGAAGGGAACAAACCCTCATTTATAACCTGAAGGGTGTTTTTAGGGGGGGAAAACCACTTGTAAAAATGGCCTTTGCCATCCAGGTGTTATGCTTTCCCGCTCTGTACGCTGAGGTTTCAAGGTTACAGGAACCTTCCTATAAAGAGCACAGAGGGGGAAAGTGCTAAACCAGTGATCGTTGCCATTTATTTAGCAACGGGATGTGACAAGAGCCGAATTAATGTGTGACAGTCCTCAGTGCTGTCTGGTTGTATCACAGCAGTGGAACTTACTCTGTGGACTGCCTGCAGCGTGGGCCAGGAGCGGGCCGTAGTAGACAGTATGAGACCTGTCCCTCATTGTGATCTACTGTGACAGGCGAGGAGCTGAGCTGAAAGGGTGAATGGTAAAATGTGGGAGTCCAACCCCCTTTCGTCCTGAGTGGTATGGCAGGAGCACAGGGACTGATGGAAAGAGAGCAGGAGGGGGAGGATGTGTGTAAACGTCCTGCAGCCTTGACTTTCCTCTGAATTAAACATAAAGTGTTTAGTGTCCTGGCGCGTAGACCCCATTTGCTTCATCCTACATGGGTTATGCGCTGCGCACATTTGAAATAAACTGCCCTGGCTGTTAGACATGCTCATGTGAATGTGTTTTATGAGGAGTGCTGGGGTCCCACTGGAGGGTGTTTGCAGCTTATTTATTCTTGTTTTATGTGTCCGGATGATTTTGAGTTTTTTTTTTTTTTCTTTTTTGGGGGGATTATTTGAAGCCTTTCTTTCTGAACCTTTGATCCTTAGTCTTCCTTCATAATGCTGCTCAAAAAAACCCTGGGAGTGCCAGGAACTAATACGAAATTCCCTTTAGAATGATCCCATTGTACAGCAAGAGTGGGAAATGGAACATCCTCGATTTAACATCTGCAAGAAGTGGCAGTGGGGAAAAAATGTTATTAAAATGTAATTTGACTGTAAGTGATTGGAAGGCTGATAAGATCAAGTTTCTATGTTGCAGAACCTCACGGCCTAGAACAACTACAGTGTGTCTGTGCTGTTTAATTTGGCTCTCTTTGCTAAAGGACAAAACCAAAACAGCTAACTGATTTTGCATCACATTTATTGCTCGCCTCATTTATCACTT